CCCCCCCCCGCGCCGCAGGAGACGTACTCCTATTACGGCCCGCTCAACTATCTGACGTGGAACGTCGGCTACCACAACGAGCACCACGACTTCCCGTACATACCCTGGTCCCGGCTGCCGGAGCTGCGGCGGATCGCGCCCGAGTTTTACGACAACCTCGCCGTGTGCGAGTCGTGGGTGGGCGTCATCTGGGACTACATCATGCGCGACGACGTCGGGCCGTACAACCGCGTCAAGCGGCCGATGCCAAAGGAGGAGTGATTGGGGTGAGCCCTCCGCCCGCCGCAGCAGCGCCGCGCGTGACGGCTTGCCACCGAGCAGCAGCGTCCAGTATGAGCTCAGCGCGTCCTGCGCGAGAGCCAGGGTGTACTAGCCGGGACTCGTACCTCCCACCCCCTCTTGAGTCCGCGTTCGAGGAGTGTCCCCGTCGGGGTTGTACGGTGGGTCCGAAGCCTAGCCATCGACGCTACCTTCTCTGTGTAGTCCATTAAATGTGTGCAGAGTTGAGAGGCTGCAGGCAGCCGGCGCTGCAGCGCCCGGGGCGGCGGGTCTTCAGTGTTAGTAGTAGACCGCGCGGAGGGCTACGCGGACGCCTTCACACACACACGACTCCAATGTCCAAACCGCGTCTCCAAGCACCAAGCTCCAAGCAAGCTCCAGGTGCTGCCCTCCGCCTCAGCGCTCAGGGCGCGAGGCCATACACACTTGATTAACCTCACATCCAGGGCCGGGGAGCTAAGAAGCGCACACAGGAAAAAATAAAAAAGGAGGCACCGCAAGTGTCTGTTTGGGCGTGGTGTCCAGTGTAATGTCCACTAGCTCCGAGTAGAGGGGGCGTCCTGCAGTTAAGGGGAAACCCGGTACGCGGGTCCAACCCTCGGAGAACTGTGTTTACTTTAAGGCCCTTTCCCTGCGAACGCGCACCCCCGGGGCTACAAAGAACCCTGCACAAAGATCGCAAGGGCGGGGGCCTGTTCCTGTTCCTTTTTACCCATCTCACAGTAGAGAGGTGTCCGTTTTTATTTATTTACCTCGGCCTGTGTGGTCGAGCTGCTTGCTAGGAATCCTACTCGAGTATCGGGGCGCGGGAAGAGTCGCACGCACGCCCAAGTGTAAAGGGGGTGGATGAGGAAATTCCCTTTCCTCCCGGGCCACCCGCCCCGCGGTTGGAATAAACCTTGGGCCTGTGAATAGATTCTTGGGAATGGCGGCTTGCTGAGATGTGTGGTCTCGGCGGGCTTGCACCCGGGTGCAGCGAAATGATCTCCTCCTGGGTCGTTCTGACCTCTGCCCAGCTGGGCAGCAAGTGGTTGGGTGCCCAAGCACCTCTCCCAGCGACGCTCCCACCAACCGGGACGTGCACGTTCAAAGCCGCAGCAACGTGCACGGCCAACGCTCAAGAGACGTGCTTCCGCGACGAAACGGTCCGAGCGCGCAGCCCCCCGCTCACGCTCCCTCCCCGCCTCGTCGCGTCCCCCGCTGACGCGCCCCTCCCCGCCTCGCGACGCGCAGTGTGCAGAGGACCCGCCTCCGCCACGTCCGTGGACTCCCGACGGCTGCTCGGCCGGCGGCGTTTTGACGTGCCGCTTCTGCGGCTTCCTCCATTTCCCTGACTGCCCGCCCGCGCCGCCGCCCTCTCTGCCGTCGCCACCGTCGCCGCCAAAGTGTGGTGGGTGCTCGTGGACCCTCGACTACGCGTGCCCCGGCGAGATGCCTGGTTATGCCGTGCCCGGCAGGAAAGGGATTGCAAAAGCGGACGGCTCCGAGTGCTTCAACTTCTGCTGCGTCTCGCCGCCGCCCTCGCTGCCCTCGCCGCCGCGGCCGCCTCCTGTGCCTCCGCAACGGCCGCCGCAGCCTCCTCCGCAGCCCCCTCCGTTCGAGCCGCCGCCCCCCTCTCTGCCACCTCGGCCGCCCGCCGCACCCTCTCCGCCGTCGCCACCTCTGCCGCCGCGCCCGCCGCCGTCTCCCGACCCACCGTCGCAACCGCCG